GAGCAGTTTTGCCCTAAAGAATGGGCAAAAATCCCAGTGGATAGATGTGCCAAGCTTATAGAGATGTACGCCCAAGAGACCTGCGGCTGTAATTACTGCAACAGGTGGCTCTACAAAGTATTGACTGAATTGGGATGAATAGTCATGCACGCTCAAGTTTTCAGTTTTTTTTTGTCACATTTCTTGTTTGTATCACAATAAAACATATTTTGATCTTCAAAGTGGTAGGCATGTTGTGTAAATCAAATGATACAAACCCTCCAAAAAAATCAATTTTAATTTCAGGTAGTAATGCAACAAAATAGGAAAAATGTCAGGGGGTGAATACTTTTGCAAGGCACTGTATACGTGGTACCAGTGTTAATGTCTATTATAACCAGGGTAGTTGCACTAGGATATATTGTTGAAGAATTAACCAGCTGCAGCAATGTCTATCAACGTGATCAAGTGTGGGCCGGTGTGCTGCGCTTGTGTGGGCCGTGTTAATGTCTGTGTGTGTTTACAATGTCAGTACAGTAATCTCCCAGTTATCCAGCACCCACGGGGATCGGAAAATGTTGGATAACTGTAGTTTCTGGTTGATTGAGAGTTAATAGAAACTCTTAAGCAACCACATCCCTGATGAGTCATAGAATATGACCTGGATTCCAATAATTAGCTCATTCAAGAAAAGACAAAGACTTCTAAAGTAGTTTTTAGCAACAATTTATTTGCAACAAAATAACAAGTACTTTCAATAAATCTGAATCCACTCTAAAAATGACATTATCACATCACAGTGTCACTACATCACAATATCTGGCACAATGTATTGAAGCTCTGTATCATATGTATCCCTCAAAGCTACCGTAAGATCTGAAATTGCACATTTTGTACTTTGATGGTCACTTTTTGGCAACAAAGCCATGTTTTTACATGTGCCTCTACCTTTACATTGTGAAGTATTCATTCTACAACAATATGATTCTCTTAGTGATTGCCAAGAACATAGCCAAATCTTTGGATACAGTGGGGATCATTTATTCAAACAGACAAAACAAGTTCTGTCAAAACAAACTGAAAGAAAATTGCACACAGTGTGGGGAATTTATCAAAACTGGAGCAAACAGAATCTGGAGCAGTTGACCATGACAACCAATCAGCATCTCTCTTCAGTTTGTTCAGTTAAGATTTAAAAATAACAGAGAGCAGCTGATAGGCTGCAGTGCAAATCTGCTCCAGATTTGATAAATTCCCCCCAATGCATAAAAGCTGCACTGGAAATTAATAATTTACTTAGCACCATTACAAATATTCCAATTCTTCATTTACAGAGCAGTTGTAGTACTTCTTCCATGGGGTAGAGACCTGCCTAAATTGTAACTCCAAGGACAAAGCTTTTGAAAATTATGATGAGTAAAGAAATGTTAAAGCGACACAAAACCCTCAACTTTTTTCTCCATATACACATCTACACAATGAATATTCTCCAAAGACATATTTATTAATGTTTAAAATGTCTTACTATTTGAATCCCTTTAGAAAGTCTGCTGTGCTCCACTCACACTTCCTGTCACTTAGTAAAAGCTGTGCACGTTGATTCTGGTCACGTGAACATCTTTCTTTGCCTACAACTCCCATTAGGGAGAGAGGAATAATCTCTCACAGCACACAGCTGCCTCCCGCCTCCTCACTAAACACACTATGACAATTTCACTGCTTGTAATCTCCTCTGCAATGCTCTGAATTATCACAACTACTGACAAGAAATCTACAACAAACATCAAGCTTATAACAATCTACACAGAAAAACGTTTTCCAATGTAAGAACTGTATCCTCTGTCTGTGTGACCAGCATGTGAGCTGAGACTCAGAAGAGAGTATGAAGCTGGTGACAGCTCACATGCAGAATCACCTCAGAAGTTTGTGATAAAAGGCAGTGATCACAAGCAGCTCAGCCCACACTCCCTCCTTGGTAAGTCAGGAGGAGAGAAATCAAAGACCATATATTAGTGTGGGACAGAAACATAGCCTGCTGCTGAAGAAATCCCAGCTCCTTGCAGATTCTAGAAGGGAGGATTTGTGGGTGGAGACTGAGAAGAGGTAGAAATAGAAGACACGCCCAAGACATTACTGCTGATTGGCTCAGCATTGTCACGTGGGATGAGGAGAGACAGCCCTGGATAAGCTTCTATTAGGACTCATACTGGGCTTTCTTTACCACCTTACAGCAAGTAAACAGAGCAGCGGGAAATTAAGGTAAGACGAGTGTGAGCTGCTAGAGAGGCACATTAAAGCCCATCCCCAGCATTACCGCCTAGGACTGTGAGACCAAAAAGGATCTCAACAGGACATAGAATGCAAGAAATTCTTGCATGTTGTAGTCCTTTACATGAACAAATACAGAGGGTGGCTACCTTTCAGCTCCTGCAGGGACCATGGCGAAGAAAAGTAGCCACCCTCTGGCAGGAAGTTGTGGATGGAGAAAATTAAAATGGATTTTGGACCATTTAGAGCTAAACAATGACAAACAAAGGCACAGAGTAATTGATTATTTATATAATTAAAGTTATTTTTAATATTTAATTTTTGAGTTTACTGTCGCTTTAACGTTGCTTAGTTATAATCATTGTCTGGATTGATTCACAGTACTTCCTAAATCAATACTTTTCTTTCTGCCCCATAGTATAGCTCCTGCCCTAAATATGAGAGCTACTGGTCATAAACACTGCAGTACCATTATTCACAGAATACAGTGTTCTGTGAATTGCCAGGGGGAGAAAGGTGTTGGTAAAAACAATACTAGTGCTGCAGTCTATGAGACCAACAATTCTCATATCCCGAACAGGTCAGAAGTAAAGCAGGAGCCATACTATGGAACAGAAAGAAAAGTGTTGATTTTAAAGTAACGTGAAGTTATCCAGACAATGATTACAACTGAGCAGAAGTAACATTGCTTTACACATCATAATTTTAAAAAATATCTGTGCCTTGAGTTCAACTGTAAGCACTAAAGCCTCTTTACTGTAAGTAATATGGGGTCCACAGCATAATATACCTGTGCTTGCTTAGATTTTTTTTGTAAACACCCTGCTCTTAGCAGAGGAAGCTTACAAAGAAATAGGAACAATATGCATATATCTTGATGCTTCCAAAGACATTATCAGGGTACTGCAGCTCAGCAAAGTAAAGGTATACTGCTCTAATTATAAAGCTATTCATAGCAGTAAAGCCATTTCAACAGCCAGTCAGGATGATAGAGACTACACATTACTTCAGTGCCACAAAAGAAAAGTGGTGAAGAGGATAGAAAAGATGAGTGGGGGAGAAGTTAAAAGGCAATAGGCTGTAAAGGTCAGTATGAGATTGCCACCTTATTTAACTGTCACGGACAAATCAAATGTATTATCCAGAACAGGCTAAAATAATTTCAGATTTGATTTGTTGACACTAGTGCTATGAATCTTTCACATTTATTTCTTCATTAATTACATAGGTTCATTTTAGGGACACAGTTGTTAAGGGATTGTTAACGCTCCAATTTACTCTACAAATTTTTAAAGTGTATCTCTAGGCTAAACCTTTTTGTTTAGTTTTGGATAAAGTTAGAAAAGATTAGACCATCTGTCAAGTTTTTGTTACTGTCTGAGTCCCATTTGGGGGAGGCTCACCTCTCTATTTGTACTGGTGATCACTGTTATTGAGAAAGAAAGTGATAGAAAATCCAACATTTTGGAGGTAAGGGAAAATCTTCTAATGGGGCACCTGTTCAGGGAACAGCTGTCTGTTGTCTGTTCCATCACAAATATTTTCTAATTAATGAAAACACTCTGTAATTACATGCATTTCCATAAGTTCTCCCTGCGGTGCAGGAAATTGGATTCTCTATAACCTCTTGGCTTCAGGTCTTCTGCCTAAATATGCATGAGGGGTAGAGACCATCACTGCACAGTACAGTGTGACTTTTCCCAATTCTGTCATGTGTTCTACCTTCTCATTTGTTGACAGCTGCATTTTATGCTATGTTTAAGGTAAAAGTGGTGAAAAAGAGCAGGAGTGAGAGAGGATTATGGTGGAGATAGAATTGGCTATTATTGCTGACAAATAAAAAAAATACCTCCTAAAGGGAACTTCCTCGGAAGGTTTACTTCCGTCATATAGCAGCATCCTTTCATTACCTTCCACTAATGCTGGTGAAACAAAAAGGCATGACATGAGGATAATATGAAAGGTGAATAATGCAAAGGGTAACACAGACCTGCAAGTAAAAATGCACACACAATTTTTAGCTTGCAATTACAAAGTGTTTGCACTGAAAAAAATAGAATTTAGTTGTTCTTTAAGTCAATAGTGGATACCCCTGTATGTCCAAGGAGGGAAAATAGGCTATGTGCTTAAAATTTCCAACCTAGCCAATAGATGATGGCAATCCAGATAAAATTGGTTATGTACAAATGCAGGTACATCACAGAGGATATCCAACATCTAGTTGCTCTTTCAGGGTCTGCATATGATACTTTGGTGGAATAAGGTAGACCTATATATTCAAACATTCCATATCAAGAGAAAAAAAACAATTTTCAAAACAGTTTTGTCAGGTTACCATTCTTTAAATACACTTAACAATATTATTTTCTGGAAAGCAAAATCAAATTTTCTGAGAGTTATGATTTTTTCATATCAACACATTATGTTGGTATAATTTGCATCTTTGCGTACTAAAATAAACATTATTTCACAAATCTACCTTGTGCTTATAAATAATCGCTATTGATGTAATGGTGCAAAAAACTCAAAATCAATCCAGTCATTGGTGATATACAAAAAATTACTCAAGCTCTGAGCCAAACTCGGATCTCAGTCTAAAAGTTTGGCTAATTGATAAAAATAGGAGCAAAATTAGTGACAGTGTTGTCCAGACTAAACTGGTCAGTTTTCAGCTATTATTCCTTTGGAATGATTCAGGAATGAAAGCTAAGTGTTTAAATTATGGCTTGTAAGACAATAAGATTGTTTGTTTCATACTGAGAGGAAAAATACAAAGCCACATAGGGGTACAATCAAAGAACCACAACATTTACAAAATATTTCTTTCATGTCATTCACATACAAAAGACAATACACTCCCAACTACAACCTATTTAATTTTATAACTCATTCAAAATAAAATTATTTAAAAAAATCCTCTAAATTAACTAAGTTAGGACAATGCCTCAGATATAGTGCATCAACAGAAGTAATGTCAGCTATCAGTGCCAAATATTTTAGAAAGGTCAAGTGGAATCCTTGCTTTCCTCAAATAATTTTTTTCTAAAATTGCAGTGCAGTTTTGCAAAAAAGAGCTAAAGGTTGTATCATTAGTAAAGGGAAGCATTGGGGGGGGGGGGGGGGGGGTGTCGGGGCCGA